CCCTCTACTTGCTCTCACTGAAAAACCAAAGTCAAGATGGTTAAACAATTTACAGCACCCAACAGATTCCCTTAGAAAATGTCTGATTCAAAACATGCATATCTGATAATTAACACGTACTGCCTCCAACAACTACAACACTAATTTTCTCTACTGTCTACGTCTGTTTTTTTTCTTCCAGCAATTCTGCTTTATTTTTTTAAACAACATTTTGGTTATTAATTTAGGAATGAGCAATTACACGAGAGACTAAAATAAATTTAGATTTTTTGTAATTACGAAGGTGTAGGCGGAGTTCATGTAACAGAATTATATGATTTTGGAATATGAATATCCGACTCTTGTGGATTAAGAAAAAAGATACAATCAATAATTTTAAAAATAATATATTTTTTAAAAAAATTACAATTCTTTTTGTGAATATATATATATATATAAATACTTATTTCATATATAAATTTTAAATTACTGTTTGGTTACTAGATGAATTAATTTAGATACCGTACATTTTGATGCTCAACAAATTAAATATGTCTAGTTAGAACTTAATTTATATAACACTAATTAACTTGAACAATAAGTATGTCGATCATGTCATTACATATAATTTAATTCTCATTTAATATACATATATACAAATTAGTAAAAATGTACTTACACTGAGTTAATAATATGTAACACTCGGTCAAAATTAATTAATATAGGGTTAACTCTCTGTGAAAATAATTAAGTAGGTTGGTCGCCACATTTGCCACCATAAATTAAATCATAATTATTTATACCCTTGATCATGGAATTGGCATCACGAATCCATGATTCTATCTCATTAATATATCCATACATATATTTTATACAGATTACACAAGAGATGGCAGAAAAACATATTAATAATTCAGAATAATTAACCAATATTAGGTAGAAGTAATTTTGTGGGTGACCATTAATGAAAGTATAATTGCACACTAAAGTACTATAATTCACTTATTATATTATGAATGACTATTTAAACAGTTTTGTTAGATTAATAACTTAAATAAATTAATGTATAATTATATATATAACACATGGATTTAATGAAGGAATTTTTTTTTTTTTTTGGGGTTGTGGGAATTAAAGGCTTAACTAGATAGATAGGAAAAAAAATGGTTTAATTGTGGATCATATGTGTGTGTGTGTGTATATATATATATATATATATAATTGTGACTAGATTTAATATGTCAATTAAGTATTTGAGATATATAAAAGTGAAAAAAATAAATTAAATTATGAATTTATCACCGTAAGATCCCATATATTAGTGAGTTGATCAAATTATGTATTAAAATATATAATTATACAGTTGATTATTAAAATTTATTAATTGAACTGGAAATTAAAAAAAAAAATTGTTTATAAAGCGTATGGAAAGTAGGTGTTTTTTTTTTAAAATCAGACGGTAAAAGATATTCAGGTTAAATTCGACGCCGTTACTACTAGCTCATGCCGTAGGTGGCCAAAAAATTTGGCATGTGAAGCGATGCATCGAACTAAACGCACCGTTTGACTTTTATACTCGTAGGACTAGCGGCCAACATTACCCACGCGCTGAGTTCAGGTCCATCACTCACGCTCCAAATCAAATTATAAATCTAAGACCAGTGTGCCTTTCAAGTGGCCCCACCTTCACCTCTCCCTCTCTGGGGACTCATTTATCACGCGTGGGGCCCGCAGCGAGTGATAAGACTCCATTTGTTGTCAATACATAACAGCTATCTTCTTCTTTAAAATTTTTAAAAATAAAAAATAAAAAAAATCTGGAATTTATTATTTTTTTTCCTTTTAAAAAAGAAATTAAAAATAGAGGTAAAATTTTAAAAAATTACTATAAATTGAATAATAAATCATTATTATTATATATGTATAAGAGGAATGAGGTAGTGAGCAAGAGAGGCATGAACGTAGTAAATGGTACTTGCCATGCAGGCCGTGCGTGACTCAGTCTCATTTATTGCCCAAACGTTCCCCACATTGCATTCTTCACGGAATAGGTATATAGTACACCACTAATCTATATACACACACACACGCACACATATAAAGATGGTTTTGGTTTATGAGAAAATTGTTAACTTAATTATAAAATTGACTAATAAATATAGTAATTAAAACCCATTAATTGTATATATCAAAACCCTAATTCAGTAGGTTCATTATAGAAGGAAAACATATATATGTATATAATCTGCACATAGAAAACCAAAAGCCACACACCCTTTGGCTTTGATTTACTCGTAAACAAGTGGTCAAATTCATTTTGTACACCCAATATATTTTATTTTGAAATAATTAATGGTAATATTCAAAGGTTTTGTTGACCAGCTAAGGTTGAAACCGGTCAAATTTCACTTGTAACGTATTCCAACTCAAGAGATTTCATAAAGGAGTGGATGTATAGGAAGATTAATTTACTTATATGATTTAATTTTAAATTAATACCAACCTTATTTTCATCCACTGTTGGTCAAATATTTTACTTCAAGAAAAAATTACTTAACTAAGAGATAAATGTAAGACTTGTATACATGTGTGTGTGTGAAAAGTAATTAATTATTACCACTTTCAAGGTTAAATAATTTGACCAAGTGGAATTAGAGAGAGATTTAATTTTAGTTTATAAAAAAAAAAAAAAAAACTAATTTGAAGATAGTATACTAGTAAGAAAGTAAAAGAATATATGTTTTTTTTGGGAATTAATTTTATATTTAAAAAAATTCTTTATTTTCTCGTGCAAATACCATGGTTGAAAAAGGATATATTTAGAAGAGGGTCTACATAAAACATGATAAAGTCAATGAAAAATTATGTTATTCATGGTCGTTCTTGGAGCTGTCAATGCTTAGTATGATAGTCCGAGATATATATATATATATATATATATGTATGTATGTATGCAGACACATATATGCTCTCTCACGCCTTTATACAATACCTTTCACCTTACCCCAATAAATAATGGATTATTATATAGAAACAATTTGTGGATTATAGCTTTGTGTGTCAATATTAAATTTCCATATCTCTCTAATACACATTAATGAATATATATATATATATATATTGTCCGGGTCAAAATTCATTTCAAAATCAAGATTTAATATCAACCTTTTGGCTTCATTTAATTCCGAAAAATATTAATTTTCTTGTTGTGTTTTATTTTCTGGTCTGGGTGTGGGTTAATTCATGGTGAATTAATGTTACATAATTAAAAAATCATTGAAATTAATATATCTTGTCTGATATTTATAAAACAACTAAAGATAATTAAAAAATGATTGGCACCCGGGATTATATCTAATTTATGTCATAAAACATGTTTTATTAATACATTAAATTTAAAATAAAACGAAAAATTTAGTTTGTCTTATAATACGATATATATTGTAGGATTGTATATATATATATATATATATATATATATATATATATATGTTCTTAATGCATACACTTTTTTGCTAATCACCCGATTTCGACTTTTCTTAGATTGTAGTTAGAGAATATTTTTTTACATACACTGTATTAATTGTTCTATCTTATATATATATATATATATATATATATATATACACGTATATATGTATACATAAATATAATATACATTATCAACAAACACATTTCATTATCACATGGAAAAAACCTTTTTTTTTCCCCAAATTTTGTTTTCTTTCATTGTATGTATTGCATTAAATGTTTAAATGATATAAAATTTGATATAACTTTTATGATACATGTTGACGAAAAGCATAAATCTTATACAATTACACCAAGCAAAAAGCTTTCAGTTGTATATACATGTATATATATATATATCAAAAAGGGTACAAAAGAAAATGTAATTTCATTCAACATCTAATAATAATCTAACATTTTATTATTATTTTCCAATAACAATTAATGTTAATGATAAATATACAATAATTTTGTTTGAAAAGTAAAAAAAAAAAACAAAAAACAAAAAACTTATTAATTTAGAAGCATTATGAACTTAAACGCCCAATTGTACCTAGACAATTTTTTCTTGATACAACATAAACAATCCTAGATATAAAATTACATTAATAATTATCAATCGAATTAATACAACATTTCAAAATGTCTCTCCAGTAAACGCAATACATATGATAAAAACGTATCTTAATATTTTTATTTGACGAAATATCAGAAAATAGATTTAGAATTAATTCATCAGGATCTCACTTAAATTCTAAATACGTATGAATATATTTATAGATTGCATAAGATCAACCCTAAATCGGATATCATAAAAATGCTTCAAAATAAAGGAAAATAAAGAGATTAACATTCTTTATTAGGAAAGTCCAATTCCAACGTAAGCATGCTAATTGGATAACGATTCGAATCTTCGTTCTATAAAATTTCCATGACATGCACGTTGCATTGTGATATTTGAGTGTTTCAAGATTAAAAACAATTTAAATTACAAAAAAGATGTGTAGAAAAAATTTAGACTATCACGATGAAAACTTAGAATGTGAATAAAAATCAAAAGTATGAGATTAATGAATTAATTTGAGGGGACTTAAGTAACTAGTTAAAATAATACAAATCGAGATTAATAAGCAAGATTCATGTTTGGATTACTCATTTGATGCAATGCAGAAAAATAATAAACCTAGCTTGCTTGCTTATGAAACATGATTAATTGATCAGAAATTCAGGAAGAGGGATAACTCAAAATTATTATTTATTATGTTTGAATTTATTGGAACTAAGATATGGCTTTTGTGAATAAATAAATAAATAAATAAAAATAATTGAAGCTTTATTAGGGTGGTAAATTAGAGAAAAAAGGAAAAATTGAAAGTATTTGGTAGCCGTCATTCGTTGCATCATACTTTCTTCTCTATGGGAAAATTGAACACCAAAATTTCTCTCCATCTCTCTCTCTCTCTATATATATCTCTCTCTCTCTCTCTCTCTCTCTCCCTATCGCTTAGCAATTACACCTCCCTCCATTAAATGCAATTGCACCCTCTCAATACGCTCTGTAATAACTCCTTGCTGCCACAGTCTTCTCCATCTGTTCCCTCTTTCCTTCTTCCTCTTCTCTTCTTCCTTCTATTTTTTTTCTCTTAATTTTGTTTTCTCTCTTGAATTTTTTTCTGTCTTCATCTCTCCGAGCTTCGCACCTACTTCTCCATAAAAAGCTTATCAAATACCAAAACAGGCCAAGGGTCAGAAAACCAGTTGCTGCGAAATCCCGGAGTGGTTTTCCGGCAACAAAAAAGGGTAACCAAAACCAGATCTAAGACCCCATTTTTGGATGGGGATTATCACGAGCTTTTATGGAAGGTATGAGGTGGGTGAGTCAAAAAAACTTTTTGGGCAAGTTAGTCTAAGCTTCATTCTTCTCTATATATATCCCCCAACCCCTTCCCCCCCTTTTGACATTCAGATGTTTTGCAAATCCACCATCTCTATATACCGCTGCTCAAGACCAGTTCTTACTTTCTGCTAATGCAATCTGATTCTTTTTGCTTTTTGCATTTTCTGATGCACTCTGAATTCAGATAAAGGCAAGAAAAGTTTGGTTTTGAGTCAAGCAAAGAAGGAATAGTTGGATTCTCCGTGATCTTCGTCGTGTATGCGTTACATATATCTTTATATATATACTAGGTGGTGTATTTTCTTTCTTTCGGTTTAATTTTGATTTTGGGTCTGTGAAAGGACGCCGTATCAAATTTGTCAACTCAACCCCACTTTGTTTTTCTTTTCCTTTTTTTTTTCTAGCTCGTGAATTGGCACGTTATAAGGAGAAACCAGATCAGCTTTGGATTCAAAAGTGACGAAGATAGAGGACTCTTTTCAACGGCTGGGAAAAAGAAAAACCAGAGTCAGCTCAATCTTTGTCTGTTTCTACTTGTAATAATTCTATTTGGTATGCACTCACTACCAACTGGGATTCCGACATAACGCCACTGTTTTCTTCTTTCTATATACTACATACAGCTCCACCTATAAATCTCAAAACCGCTTCTTATATATATAAGTGGGAAAAAACCGAGGTTGAGGAGGGGCTGGGTAGATATACATATACAGGGAAGTGTTGTATCGGTTCTGGGTTTCCGAGATATGCCTGCCGGTTTTATGGTTCCGGCGAGAAACATGCCTTCGATGATCGGTATGGGCGGAAATAACATTGGTGGGTTTGCATCGTCCTCTTCGGGACTCTCTCTTGGTCAGGTTTGGAACATTTCTTCTAATCTTCTCGATAATTTAAATCTGTATGTTTTTCAGGATTTGTAAATTAATCCGCTTCTCTTTTTTTCTCGCTTCGTTACTGGGCGATGCTTTTTTAATATGTAGTTTCTTCTTCTTTCAACCCGTACCTAACATCAGATCTTTCATTTTCCTTTTTGTTTTCTTCTGGTTCTTTTCACTGTTCAAAGGGTTGATAAAAAGGTGTTTTATGTCTTTGATTTGTTCTTTAGCGAGACTAATTCACAAGTCTAAGCAAAATCCTTCTCGATATTTGAGAAACAAACGCGTCATATGTTTTTAACTCCACTCTAAAAAATGAGATAGGAGACAGGGTTCAAAAAAAAAAAAAAAAAGCCCCAGTCTGTTTCCTTTTTCGAAGTAGAAAATTTTGATGGGGTTTTTCTCTTCGTTTGGTTCTTGGATTTCCTGATACTGCCCCCGTTTATTTGTTACTTTACCGTCACTATATACTGTAGGAATTAAGCGTGTGTTTTTGCTTTCTTTCGAGTTGGGGTTTCAGTTGTTTTGTTAGATTGAAAAACAATAAGAGTCAGAAACTTAAAGATCTATTGAAAAAAATATTCCAGCCAAACATGATGGAAGGGCAGCTCATCCCTCTGGAGATGACTCAGACCTCCGAAAGCGATCAGATTGCTCGAATGAGAGATGAAGAGTTGGACAGCACGACAAAGTCCGGTAGCGAGAACCTTGAAGGTGCCTCCGGAGACGACGGCCAAGACCCACGTCCCAAGAAGAAGCGTTACCATCGCCACACTCAGCACCAGATCCAGGAAATGGAAGCGTATGTTTATCTTAATTCACATTTTCTCTAAAAGCATTTTGGAAAAATAAAGTGTTTTTAGTATTTTGAATTGTTGCTTTTGTTGTCTTTCTGTGTTAGTTTCTTCAAGGAGTGTCCCCACCCAGATGACAAGCAGAGGAAGGAACTGAGCCGAGAATTAGGGTTGGAGCCTCTGCAAGTCAAATTCTGGTTCCAGAACAAGCGAACCCAGATGAAGGTACAACGCCACCGTGCATAATTTTAGCTTGTTGTTCTAGTATGTTCTTGATTTTCGTCATCTTTTTTTAACGTTTATCAAGGTGCCGTTACGGTATTCTTTTCAATTTTTGCCCTTCGTCAACTCAACCCTGTTTGGCTTTTCCTATCTTGTTTTCTTTTTCTCGAGAAAATAACGGAAAGGAAGTAGACGCATGCATATCATATTTCCTTTGTCACATCTAGCAATTTTTTGATAATCTCCTCTCAAAAAAAAAAAAAAAAAACCTTTTGACAGACCCAGCATGAGCGGCAAGAGAACACTCAGCTGCGTTCCGAGAACGAGAAGCTTCGTGCTGACAACATGCGATACAGAGACGCTCTCAGTAACGCTTCTTGTCCCAATTGCGGCGGCCCGACGGCCATTGGCGAGATGTCGTTTGACGAACATCACCTCAGGCTCGAGAACGCCCGGCTAAGAGAAGAGGTACACCGAAAGATGAGTTGGAATCAATCAAATCTTTGGCAATCCATCTTATAAATCATTTTTGCCCATTTACACTTATTTTCTTCCTTAATTAAATGATGAAAAAAGTCCTCAACCTTTCGACTTCTATTTTCAGATCGATCGCATCTCAGCCATTGCTGCTAAGTACGTAGGAAAGCCTGTGATGAACTACCCGCTTCTTTCCTCTCCTGCTCCTTCCCGTCCCCTTGATCTCGCTGTTGGAAACTTTGGCGGGCAGCAAGCCGGTATTGGAGGAGAGATGTATGGTGCCGGTGACCTTATGAGATCCTTTGCTCCCCCTGCTGAGGCTGATAAACCTATGATCATTGAGCTCGCGGTGGCGGCAATGGAGGAGCTTATCAGAATGGCCCAGATGGGTGAGCCCTTGTGGATGATAGCCCTTGATGGCGCGACAAGTGTGCTTAATGAAGAGGAATACATGAGGACATTCCCTCGTGGGATTGGACTAAAACCTGCTGGGTACAAATGTGAAGCGTCACGAGAGACTTCTGTGGTGATAATGAATCACATCAATCTCGTTGAGATTCTCATGGATGTGGTAATAATACATCTTTAAGCTTGGAATTTCTCCAGCTGTTTAAGTTTTTCATTATGTTTCAAGGTGTTAAGCCTAATTTCGAACTTTTTCTTCCTCGTGATCTTCTGCGCAGAATCAATGGTCGACCGTGTTTTCCGGCATTGTTTCTCGAGCTATGACCTTGGAAGTCCTTTCGACAGGTGTAGCAGGGAACTACAATGGCGCCCTCCAAGTGGTACAAGTCTATATATGTACACCAAGATTGGTTCATACGAGTTGTGTTTTTTTGTATAAATACTGAGTGAATGTTCCATAATTTGGCAGATGACAGTTGAATTTCAAGTGCCTACTCCACTTGTGCCAACTCGTGAGAGCTATTACGTAAGGTACTGTAAACAACATGGTGAAGGGATGTGGGCTGTGGTTGATGTTTCCTTGGACAGTCTGCGACCTGCTCCCACTGCTAGGTGTAGAAGAAGGCCCTCTGGATGTTTGATTCAAGAAATGCCTAATGGGTACTCTAAGGTATATATATACATATATCATGTATAGATATAATTTAGTTTCAATGTTTTGCATTCAAAATACCGGTGCGCTTTTAATTTAACAATGTGAACAATTAGGTTATCTGGGTTGAGCATGTTGAAGTGGATGATCGAGGTGTTCATAATCTTTACAAGAACCTGGTTAACTCCGGCCACGCTTTCGGGGCAAAACGTTGGGTTGCTACCTTGGAGCGACAATGTGAAAGGCTAGCCAGTGTGATGGCAACAAATGTTCCCACAGCTGATCTTGGCGGTAATGTTAATATTTCAGTCATCTTGAAAGCATATACTGTTTTGAATATACATAAACTGGTGCATATATATACATATTTATATATGTGTGTATATATCAGTAATTTCAAATCAAGAAGGGAGAAAGAGTATGCTGAAACTGGCAGAAAGAATGGTGAATAGTTTTTGCGCGGGAGTGAGTGCTTCGACTGCCCACACATGGACGACTTTATCTGGGACTGGAGCTGATGACGTCAGAGTTATGACTAGAAAGAGTGTGGATGACCCTGGAAGACCTCCTGGTATTGTACTCAGTGCTGCAACTTCTTTCTGGCTTCCTGTTCACCCAAAAGTGGTTTTTGATTTCCTCCGTGATGACAACTCCCGAAATGAGGTATATATGTGTATCTCTCTCTCTGTCTCTCTGTGTATATATATATATATATATATATATCTCTGCCATACATATATATATATTAATTATGAATTGGGTTGCATTCAGTGGGATATTCTTTCAAATGGTGGAGTTGTCAGTGAAATGGCTCACATTGCTAATGGCAGGGATACTGGCAATTCCGTCTCTCTTCTTCGAGTCAATGTAAGTAATTATATATCTACATGTATGTATATGTCTATTAGTCTTACAGTTGAAGAAGGATTCTGATATTTATATATATTGTTTTATGTACTAATTTCAGAGTGTTAATTCAAGCCAAAGCAACATGCTGATATTACAAGAGAGTGGCACTGATGCAACTGGTTCATTTGTAGTATATGCACCTGTCGACATTGTTGCAATGAATGTCGTGCTTAACGGCGGAGATCCCGACTATGTTGCCCTTCTTCCATCTGGGTTTGCCATACTTCCCGACGGCGCCGGCGTTAACCAAGGCGGCTCCGGTGGCTCTCTTCTCACCGTTGCTTTTCAGATTCTTGTTGACTCTGTCCCTACCGCAAAACTCTCTCTTGGCTCAGTCGCTACAGTTAACAATTTGATTGCTTGCACCGTTGAGAGGATCAAAGCCGCCTTATCATGCGACGCCGCATGATATGATCGTTTCATATACGTACATAATCAATCACTCGCCATCTTAATTTCTTTTGAATTTTCAGTTTTTACTAACCCTTTTTTTTTTTTTAATTTGTTGCAGTCATTGACAGATCGAAGAAGGGAAAAATGGATTGGGAAACAAAGTAAAGAAGAGTTTTGGGGGGAGATCGTATAGAAAAATTATGGGGAGAAGTCAAGAGCGCACCTTAAATAATCTTCTTATCAAGCTTTTCTATGAGGATTATAGCTAGGTTCGGGTATTGACTTTCCCCGAGGAAAAAGAAAAAGGAAAACAAGAAGACAGAGATTTAAATGCATAAAAAAAGGGTTTAAACAGTTTCAACTTTGATTTTTGACATTCTATGTTTAGGGTTTAAATAGGGTTTTAGGGTTTTTATGTGTTGAGAGAATTACAGAGGGTTTACATAGAGCCTCTCTCTCTTTTTCCCTTCTTCACCACCCTTGATTGTAATTTGCTTTTCTCCTTTCAAGTACTTTTGCTGGATATATATATATATATATATATATATATATATAATTAGCAGACTTTTTGCATGTTGGTATTTTTAATTTTTTTTTTCAATTAATTTATTTTTTCTTTACTGTAATTAATTATCATTTTCCAAATTATTCCCAAGCTTAATTTTTGTTTTTGGCTAAAGAAAATATTATTTTTACAGATAACCCATTAATGGTTCTTACCATCCTAATTAAGATATTCATCAGAATTTTTTATAATCTCTATTTATAGTCTCACATAGAAATGTGAATTAACTATAGAAATATATTCATCAATAATTTATGAAAATTTAAAAGTTAGATAATAATTAAATGTATTTTGTTTTGTGCACGAACGATCCAAAAAAAAGTAAGTTTTGTATTTTTTATTTTAAAAAAATATAAATTAATTACAAAAATATTAAAAAATAATAGTATATCATACACCAATACTCTATATGAGACGCAATTCTTTCTAATACAATTTTCATGCAGTGAGCCCATAAAATATATACATGTGCAGAGCAACAAATATAATACGACCTAACATTTTATGTAATATGTACAGTAACTATATATATAAAATATAAAGTTAGAATTTAAAATATAACAGAAAAAAATAAAACTTTTCGAATGTGCACAAAATATACAAAAATAAGAACTTTTTTACAAGTTCTACTTGTCTAACGGGGGTACTGATTCTTCATTCTCATCTGAAAAATATTAAGGTAAAATTTAATAAGTTTTACCAATTTAACAAGTATTATTTGTAACGACTTTGAACTTAAAAGGAAATAAATTATAAATTAAATGCGGAAGCGAAATAATAAAGTTAAACTTTACATTCCTGACACAATAATTTAGAATACTTAATAGGATTACGGGAATGACCATTTTAAAATAATAACGAAAAATCAAAGAAATAAACGGAAAGTAAATAACTATACATCCTATTAGTAATTCTCTTGTGGGTTGAGATCTGAATGTTGGTTATATTGATCTGAAATGGTTAATGAAAGAGTAAATTACACTATCTTAGTAAAAATGTCACACTACTCACCGATATACAAATGAATGTTGGTAAAAATTCTAAAAAACTACTAACAGAACTCTTGATTTAAGTAAATTCATTTATAATAAATAAAATCATTTATTACATACTTACCGTAACGAGATTTACAAAATCGACCTATAGAGACAATAACACAAAGAACATCATAATCTCATTTTCAATTAGGCAAAACAACAATTTTTCTTTTTTACCTCTCTACTGGTATCCATAGGGGTCCATAGGAATGTCCCCACTACGCATAAACCCTTATTCAACATTGTCGACTAACCGACTATTCTCATACCCCGTACAGGATAAGTGCAAAAAATATCATCCGTCAATACCCCGTCCGGTATGAGGGTGAAACGGACCGTCTCCATACCCCGTCGATTCGCCATGTCCGCTGAACTTCAGCCACACATACACACTCTCCTCCTTAAATTTATAATAAACAAGAATATATTCGGGGTCCCTACCCTATTCACTCTTACCATCTCATTCCAACATTCTTAATTTATTTAAATAATTATTTCTTAATCTCAATTATTTCTTTTTTCTTCTATTTTTATATTTATATATTATTTCCTTTTCTTTTTTAATTTTTTTTAATTGAGAATTGTCTTTTTCAATTTCATATTTTATCAATACAAATAACTCTCAATTTATTAGGTCTATTTTCTGGTTTCGTCTCCTCATAGGGTTCTAATTGCTTAAGTTTACTGATCATAATTTGAAATTTTATTTTTCCATTGAAATTGGGCCAATGTCCGTTTAATTTCAAAATTCATAATTTTTATAAAATGAATACATTTTGAAATTTAAGCGAGTTGAGATTTAGAAATACTTACTCTCTTAACTGTCTTTACGGATCCGCCCGATTGTCTAAATTTTTCTGTACATACGATATAACTAATTAGAATATTTTGAAATACTAAAAATTAATTTAATCAAATTATGGGTTCTAATGATCACCCAACAGAATACCCGAAATTATCGGGATCCGTACTCAGAAAACCTTTCTGCTCTCTGTTCGGCAAATCAAATTTTGAATTTTCAAGAAATACTTTTCAGCTTTTCGGATGTAAAACTGGATTTTCGTTTTCCAAGAAAGATTTTTCAACTTTATAAACGACGAATCGAAACCTAAAATGGTGGATCGAATTTTCATGCTTGGGGAAGACGCTTCGGCTTCCCGAATGGGTCGGCTTCCTAAATGGGTAAGCTTTACCTATTACCAAAGAAAACCTCCTCGGTTCCCGTGCAGATGGGTAGGTTGGTCGAGCCCACACGGCTAGCCCGACACTAGCCCTGCCCCACCGCCGCTCAACCACCACTAAAACATGAGAAAATAATGGGTTTACCTTCAGTGTAAGCAATTTGGCATCGACTTAGCTCTTGGTGGTCTCTTCTCGGCCACCCCGTGGGCTAGCTTGGTTGAGATTTGGATGTGATTTTTTAAACATTTGCTCGCGTCGGTCTCTGCTTTCACACGACGTCTCGGTCAGTTTTCTTCCCTTATTCTTCATTTCAGCTTCAATTCCACCACTCACCGCCTCCGAAACTCTCTTTTCTCTTCTTCCCCTTGTACTGGCCATTATCGATTTCTCTTTTTCCCCCTCGGCCACCCTCTTTTTCTTCCCTTTTCTCTCCTTTCTTTTTCCCTTCCGGTCTCTCTCTTCTTTTCTTCTCTCTTATCTCCTTCTCGACTTTTCCCACACGACAGTCTTCTTCCTCTTCTCTCCCCGATCGACTCCTCTCTCTTTTCCCTCTATCTTGTTCGGCTGCCCTTCAAAATAAAGAAGGAAACCCTAATTGTTTCCTTAAATACCCATCTCCTTGGCCTTGGATCTCACAATTTTGATTTGGGCCATCCATTCTCTTTTAAGCAGTCTGATCTGGGCCGTCCATACTCTTGATTTCCTTTGCCTCCTTCCAATTCTCCTTATATGTTTTTGCCCCCATTTTTCTTACTCACTTTTATTTAGATTTCTTAAATTAATTAAAAACCTTCATTTTTAAAAATTTCTTTCATTTACATCCAAATTCCAAATTTTATTTACATTTCTTATTTTTTTTTCTTTTAAGTGGATATTATATAGTATATTAGTTCCAATTTATCAAAATTGATAGAATTTAAAATATATTATTTCAATCTCATATAAAATTCCATATGAATCTTATAATGATTTAGTCAAGACAAATGTAGATTAATATATTCTGCTTCTTTTGTTTATAATTATTATGGGCCACTCGGGCAAACTAAAGCCCCCTATACCATATACTAAGCTTGATGGGACCTTCATCCTCTTTAAAACTCGTTTATGGGCCATTTTATTTTTGTGAGTAAAAAGTATAGTTAGTTATATATAATAATAAAAAATAATTATATTCTTTATAATAATTTATTATAGCTATATTTTATTTTATACGTTATACATTTAAAATTTTTTTTTTTTTTAAATTTCCATTTTCTTGTATTTTAATTTTTTATTAATAAATATAATTTACTCAGACATATAAATTTTATGCAATATTTCTATTGATCATAAATTCTAGAAGTGTATTAGATTATTTATTTAGATATATAAATTTAAAAATTAATATAAAAAATTTTGGGCTGCCATTTCTGGTGGGTAATTAAGCGTACCACTATGACTATGACCGCTTGAATGGATTCATTTCTATTCATATTTTCATATATATATATATCTACTTTTATTTCTAGAAACTTCCATAAATGTAGATATTTTTCCATTTCAATTTATTAATTTCCGTTACTTGTTATATTTAAAAATATACCAAAATATGCATTTTATTAATTAGGCCACATCCAGCTTTAGACTCCATTAATTGCTTTCAATTTTTACAGGAAAAATTTTTAAAAAAAGAAAATTATTTTTTAATATATATAATTATGTTATTATATGTAACTTTTAAATTAATTTTAATTTTTTTTATTAGTAAAAAAAAAACAAACTAACAAATAATATTTCTAAAATATTTATAAAAAAGGCAGTTATATATCAGTGAAAAACAGCTATTAATTTGCTGTACCCACCCCACATGATTTCCACGTGCTTCAGAAGACCTTCGCTTATATATAGCCAAACCCTGTGCTATACCATTTGCCATTTCCCCTTCTCCCAAATACCACCTTTTGCTTCCCCCTGAAAATTTACTCGCAGGCGATCGCTGAGAAAACCAACAAGACAAGAAACATGGCAGATATTGCACAGAGGAAGAAGAAGTTAGCCATGGCTCTCATCGGATTAGACGAGCTGATAAAGAAGTGTCAGATTGGCGAGCCTTTATGGCTCACTCGCCCCGATGGCTCCACCACTGTTCTCAACGAGGACGAGTATGTCCGGAGGTTTCCCGTTGGAATTTTTGATCCCCGGCCTTCTAGGTATATGTCCGAAGGTTCACGCGCAACTTCGGTCATCCTCGCATGTCCCCCAAACATCATCCAGATTCTCATGAATGTGGTAAGCTGATCGTGATCTGATCAACAATTCTTATCTTTCTTACTTGACGATTATGGGGATTGTATACATTTATATATGTGTGTGCGTGGGGGTGTATGCCTTTTTTCTGTGTACAGAATCGATGGCCGACTGTATTTTCTGGGATTGCGTCTCCGGCTTTGACTTGGGAAGTCGTAGTAGCTGCTGTAGGAGGCAGCTTTGATGGCACTCTGATAGAGGTAATATATATTTACATATTGATATACATATCTGTATATATATAGATAGATTATTGTTGAGTAAAAGAAATCTGATGTGGAAAATGTCAGTAATGGGGAGAATTTCATTTTCC